GGAGGAAAGTCACAATAGTACAAAGCTACACAACTACAAATAATGCGAATCAAGAGAAGAAGGATGAATACTACAGACAACTGAAATCAGCACTAGACAAGACCTCATTTGGCGACATCAAAATTCTAATAGGCGACATGAATGCCAAACTGTGAGCGGACAAGACAGGAAGGGAACTAACCATGGGTCGAGAAGTGCTCGGTGAAATGATAAATGAGAATGGAGAGTTGTTTGCAGAATTCTGTGCATTCAACGATTTGGTGATTGGAGGCAGTGTGTTCAAGCACAAGGATATCCACAAAGCGACATGGATTTCACCAGACACCAGGACACTCTACACCAAAAATCAGATCGACTCTGTCTCAATCTCAAGAAAGTGGAGACGCAGCCAGCCTACTTGACACAAGGTCAAGAAAAGGAGCAGATGTAGGTTCAGACGACTTCAAAATCAAGTTGGAAGCCTTCAACTCAAGAAACATGGATACTGGAACTCTTTGAAAGCTATGTGGAAAGAAACCTGCATAACTGTATTAGGAAGGAAGAAGAAATAAGATAAGAAATGGATCTCAATGGACACATGGGAGCTGATAGAGCAGGGAGAGGAGGATGGTGAAGCAGAAAAGGAATCAGTGCAAGGATGCTCAAAGAGAGGAGGAACTGAGTACAACGTATGAAACATTACACTGGACAAAGAAGTGAAGATCGCACGCAAAGACAAAAGACACTCCCACGACACATTGGCAAGTGAAGCAGAACAGGCTGCTGGTAGGAGAGACAGAGAACTGACAACATTGTGTCAAATAACGAGGTTACTACTGAAGATAAAAGAGATCAACACAGATGAAACTAATGAAAGATGACGAAGGAAAACTAATTAACAAAGAAGAGAAACAAAGGAAACGATGGGCTGGCCACTTCGAAAAGCTCTTGAATCGACCATCACCTGCACTCCGTCCAAATATACCACAAGCAGCCACAGAACTACAAGTGAACACAAACCCTCCTATGAAAGTCGAAGTCCCGAACGCCATAAATCTACTGAAGTGCGGGAAAGCAGTAGGACCAGATGGAATCCCACCAGTAGCAATGAGAGCGGACACAGAGACAACAGCGAACATGCTCACACCACTATTGCAGAAGGTCTGGAAGAAAAAGGTACGTACCTGCTGATGGTCTGAAAGAAGGGCTGCTTTGACAAATTTCAGAAAAAGGACGACCTAATTGTTTGCAAGAACTGGCGTGGAATCACGCTCCTATCTACCCGTAGCAAGCAAAATATTAGGCCGCATCATCCTGTAGAGACAAAAAGATGCGCTGCATTCAAAACTATGGACAGAACAGGCTGGCTGGATTCAAGAAGTATAAATCATATACGGACCAAATTGCAACGCTACACTACGCATCATCATAGAACAGAGTATAGAATGACAGTCAACCCTCCAACTCAACTTCATCGACTTTGAAAAGGCCACTGACAGAGTCGACCGACAAGTAATTTGGCAGGAAGCTGCTTCAACACTACGATTTTAGTGCCACAAACCTTTATCGACCTCATTCAACAACCATATGAAGACGCCACATGCCAGCCAAGTAATTCACAATGGGAAGCTCACTGATGCTTTTGAAGTGAACTGAAGACAGGAGTGAAACAAGACTGTCTACTATCACCCGTGATATTCCTGATTGTAGTGGACTGGATCATGCAACAAACAGTGAGGAGTGAGAAGAGGAGGATACGCTAGGTGGACCGGGAAAACATCCTAGAAGGTTTGGATTTCGCCGATGACTTGTGTCCGATGTCACACGAACATGGAGATCTACAGGCAAACACTAACAAGTTAACAGAAGTGTCGAGGCAGTGTAGCGAAGACGGGACTTCAAGTGGACATAGAGAAGACAGAGGTGATGACGATACTAAACCAAGAGCACCACCAACAACAAGAGGCTCCAGTCAGCATTAGCAGAAGAGACTTCAAGGAAGTAGCCTCTTTCACCTATCTGGGCAGCATCATTTCAAATGCAGGCGGTGGTGGTACAGACGAGGACGTCAAACCAGCCAGGATCGTAAAAGCAAGACAGGCGTTCATCAACCTGAAACCAGTGTGGAGATCTACTGCACTCAGCATAAAGTGTGAACAAGATCCGGATTTTCAACACCAACGTCAAGTCAGTGCCTCTGCATGGCTGAGAGACTTGACGCGTTACGAAAGGGATTTTCAACAAACTACAGACATTCATCAACAACTGCCTACGCTTGGTCGGTACTGAAGATCAGATGACCAGAATACTAAGAATAAGCAACAAGGAACTCTCACCGGGCAACGAACCAACCAAGAAGCTGTCTCTGAACAAATAAGCAGAAGGAATTTGATATGGATTGGGCATACACTGGGAAGGCCGACAAGGTACATCACGTACCAGATCAGACCCTCGAGTGGAACCGAGATGGGAAGCGACGAGTTCGGCTTGCGAGGTGAGGGTGACATGGGAGAGATTGTGCGAGGAAGAAATGAGAGCTTGTGGGCTGTCGTGGGGCAATTTTCAAAAGATTTCAGAGGACGGGGTGCACTGCAGAGGGGCTACTGAACCCCTATGTTCCATTAGGAACCCAGTTGACAAATAAAGAATAATAATATAACCTATTATGTATTCCTACATGTCATTGTTTAGCATTAACATTTACAGGTTGTATTCAATCTGCGAATACTTTTTTATAACTCTCAAAATAATCACCTGAATTTCTAGTTATAACAAGCAGGCACAAAATCTCATTTAAAAACCAGGCATTTTTATTTGCGTTCTTAAATTTAGAAAATGAGAATCTATTATTACACTATTTAGTTGTCTTAGCGCATAGCTGAGTTACTTATCATATACTGATCATTCATTCGCCACCTCAGAGTCAGACAGCTTACAACAGCATAAAGTGCTGTTAATTTACTACTATAAAGTGTGTAATTCAGAATATACAGTGTTTCAAAGTGTATACGTGCATTTGAAATACGTACGCAATTCTTCATTAACATCATCCTTAGCATCAACAAGAGCCTTCAATCATAGTATGTTCACTAGTACTGTTTCTGTGTTTCAGAATTATACATTTGTGGAAAACAAGCAATTAGGTCTGGTGAAAAATTGCCATTTTTCCCTAACCTCAACCAGCTAGCAAAAGATTATCTTGAAACCTATGAGAAAACGTTAGTTTACATATCTCTTACAAGACATGAATTAAGTTAATGAATCCACTAAACGCTCGGTTTTTTCCATTTACAGATTTCAGAAGTGTGTATTATTGTGAAAGAGAAAAGTTTTTCGCATCCATCGTTTTCTCGAAAGTTGATAACGTATTTTACAATCACTGTGAAATAGTTGAGTGTAAATCATTCTTCCTTTGAAGAAACTATCCACAGTCAAAATCTTTGTCACAAGTGATGATATAAGTCGTTTGACCTTGAATAAAATATATAATAATTAGTTGTAACTATAGTTCACATAGCTTACTTAGTCGTTGTAACCTATTTGGATCACATATTTCAGGGATGAAGATTATATCTTCAAATTAATCGTATATGATTGAAGATCTGGAGATTGTATCAGTTATTTGAGGAGATGTCACCATTAGGTAACCGTTTGTTTGGTTTTTGAAGTTTACTGTGAAATATAAGCGGATATAACCAAGTTTAGGTACCAGTTACACATCATAAAGTGAATGAAAGTTTATTAGTAGTGCAGTAGTGATGTCCTCTACTTAAAAAGGCAAAAAGCATTTGATATAACGCTCAGCAAATATTTAACTGAAATAATACCTTAGTTGATTGGATATTAAAATGCTGAAATTTGTATGAAGTAAATGTTTACCTGTTCAGAAAAATCCAAGCCAGTCAATGATCTGACTGTTCAACGCAAAATATTCGTGAGATAACTTAATCGTAGTTACATTATTCTATTTGTTGAATCTTAGCTAGACATCTCTCAAATCACATCAAATATTTTTGTTTATAGCACGATAAAGTAATGATGGCTTTCACTTCGCCTTCTTTGGCATTACTGCATCTTTATAAGTTTTAAGCGCTACTTTTTCGTTAGTACATCCAGTACTCAGTATATAAAAAACACAGAGATCATAGACATTTCGCCAGTCAGTTCCCAGTTACACGATGTATTTCAAACTCCAACCTAGTGACTCTTATTTACTTGAAGGCCCTGAGTTCGGCCCCCTATTGGGTCACAGGTCTTCTCAGCTCAGTTCCACACGACGACGAGACACCTGTCCAGTGCTCCTCGGTTTTTAATGGTTCTCCAACTGACGTCAGTCAGTGATGAATACTTTCCTGTAATAGATGATGTATATATTATTGGGATTATTATATAAGTCATTAAGTTGTACCTCTTTATTGTCGGACTAGCGTTGAAGACACATTCAAGATTTTAACAGATAATCCTGCTCTTTGAAATGATGATTTTCACAATACGAGAACATATATCAGAGCTAAGAACAATTCTTTCCATGTACAGCGTCTAACTTATCGAAGCCAATATATTTTAGGAAATTTAGTTGTTAGGTAAAATATCCTAATATGGGTAGTGTTTACAAGATATCGTGAGATTTGAGAATATGGTTTGTGATAGGTTTATTTTATTCGAGGTAATACTGAATAAGTTATAAACTAATAAGCGGTTCTTGCTGATATTGTTGCTGTAATTGCCTAACTCAAAAAATCTTCCTACTATATGATCACATTGTTTACAAGGTTAACAATCTACCGGAAATATAGTTTTGCATAAACTGTTTGTCTTTGGATGTAAACAGTTTATCTGCAATAATTGTTTTCTGTTTGACATGAAGCGAGTAAATATTATTGCCCATAATCTAAAACAGAAAGTTATTCTAGCCAATTAGAAATGCTTTAAATGTGATGAAGGTGATTCGTCAATTTCTCATCTAATCAACAACGTTGAAAATTTTTGCTTTGAATAATTTTTCCTTCGAAATTTCCCATGATAAGTTCAATCATAATGTGACAGTGCACCTGAAGAATTGGATATTTAGACAAATTATTGAGGGGAAAATCAAAAAAACTCTGGTCTTCTTGACATTCTACACTGTAAATTCAATGAATTATTGATAGTACGCAACGGATTACTGTTTGTTTGCTGAAAATCATTTGAGTTATTACATATCAGACATTGATACTTGTGAGTGAAGACGAAAGGAATAAACATATATTATACATTTCTTTCTGTCAACAAATGCTCACAGTCAAATGTATAGATGTTAAAGAGGAATGACCGCACACTTCAGCTCTCATGTTTTCATGGACACATGTAATCATTATACTCATAGAGATCTCAGACGAGTCAAAACCGCAGAGTACATGGAAAAGAAAGATCAGATTGACATGGAGATGAAAATTCAGCCATATGACATGGAAACTGATAGATGTAGTAGTACAGTCAACGATAAATTAACCCTTCAGATAAACAGTAAACCATGGGATTCTACAGATGCAAGAATCGATCCTTATCCATGTGATCTTGACTTAGAATTATGTAACCAGTCAAACTATTTGGATGTATACGGTCCCAATCGGTGTTTAGATTATAAGAAAGTGTTATGTAGTACTTCTAGGGAATATAAACAGTTTCTTGCACCACCGCCACCACCCCAGGAATGTACACAGCGTAGAACTTCACTCCATGGCAAAACAATAACTATACGCATCAGTCGCAATGAAACCAGATATCGAAAGTTGCAAGCTAAAATTTATAATTTTCTTGAAAGGCCTAAGACATGGCCATCTGTGATATATCACGTGATTGTGTAAGTTAAATTTGATTCTTTGTTTTATAGTTACCTCGAAAACATTTCTGGGTTGCTTAACAATTGCAGTCATGAACAGTCAAAATGCAAATATCCACTGAATTCAATTCATCTCTCATTTTTGTGCGTTTTACCACTAATTCGCCTCATGCTCTGATTTTCTTATTCCCACTTTGAATGCTTCAGATAAATATGGAAAATAATATCACCCGTCTTTAAGTGATTTGTGTAGATCAGTAGCTAGATAAGCATGGTGGAATACATCTACTGGGATTCATCTTTTATGACCATAGAAGTTTTGAGATCCCTAATAAAGTAATACCTCTACAGTAGTTGCCCATTTGTATGTCAAGTCTTTGTGGATAAGTATTCGAAACCATATACTTAAGATCCCAACTCTTCATGCTGTAACCAGAGGTAGTTAGCATTCACCCATGTGAAAGTAATCAGCGAAAACACACATATGTTCCGCGGTTTGTCTAGTTCATACTAGGTTATAACTGTTGGATAAACAAAATGCACGAATCTGTTCGTAGCTAAATGAAAATAGTTACAGCTTTATATCAGTGACAGGTTCTCAGAATCCACTTTCTCATAGAATAGGGCGTAGAATGAATAATAAAAGTGCTAGTATTGAAGGTGATAGCGAATTATTCCTGCTTGCTCCAACTAGTAGTTAGGTTGTGGATGCATATTCAAAAGGTTTAAACTTTTGGCTACTTTTCTAGATTAAATTTACTTCACCAATATTCTGTACCATGAAATATAGTGTATCACCGGAGCGTCGATGTAAATCCATCAAACCTCTAAAGGACATTTTTATCCTTGTTGCAGAGAAGTGGTTAACAAGCTTAAAAAACGTGCTTTTGGCCGACATGTGTTGTGTGAAATTCCACCAAACCTAACCAAGTATGGGTAACCGGGTTGCATTGCAAGCCTTTGCAAATAAATTATAGCTCATGGTGAAGTATAACTGCCAGGATTACACTCCCTTGTATCATTATTAGTACTATTTCCATTTCATCGAGTAAAATGGTGTGAAAATAAGAGGATAGTTTATATAAACGCAGAGAATATGCAATAAGTTTGTCAAACTGTCAACTATCAAGTTAATGTTCTAGAAAACATTTTCAATGAAAAGTTTTATGTCCTCTGATATAAAAAGTGTGATTAAAAAGACTATCGACCACAAGTAAATAACATAATTGGTATTACTGATGATAAGTGACACTCAGATTAGCAAATAACTACTTTTTTCTTCAGTTAACAAGGCTTATTAAGGAAAAGACGTCCACTTGAAGTCCTTTTGCTGAGAAATTCGATTGCTAGATGTGCTTAACTGGTACACCAGGGGAAACATGATATAAACAAGCGTTGAATGTATAAAAAGTTAGGACTGTTTTCCTACAGATGCTGAGATAGTAGTCACTGCATAATGTGTTCAGCTGGCATCAATGAAAAGGAACGTTTGGCAGAAAAGTTATTCACTCATGAATTTCACTATGTGAATTTATAAGGAGTTAGAGCAACAATGAGAGCTAGATAAAATAGATCCATTTTATTTCAATGTTATTCTGTCAAGTGTTTACAAACTGAAATGTCAAAATATATGATTTGACTGATTTTACTCAATTTACAGAAAGAAAACAGAATATCTGTCAGTGGTTAGGACTCAGAAATAGTCAAAGAGAAAAAGGCAGTCATAGTGACAACACAAGGAAGTTTAACAGATGAAAATAAATTGTTAGAACTATGTACATAATCCAATAAAGGTATTCTGTAACAAAAGGACACAGAAGTATCAATCTAAATAAAAGGGCTTAACATAGTAAGATTGGGTAAGTGGATCACACCATAAGTAAGCAGTACGATCAATATGAACAGAACGTGGGATACTAATATAGGTGCAAAACTTGGGCACTGTGCTAGGATTTAATTCCATATTAGATTTGTTTATTTGATTTATAACACACAGTGATACCGTATCATTTATTTGATGACGTTTTGAGCATAAATTATTGCTCACAATCATATCAGTGTAATCACATAACTTTCAGCATCTGATTTTTCTTAGTTCTGTCACCCACCTCATATGATTTGTTTTTATTGGTAGTAAAATTTTCCGAATTTCTGGTAAAGGTACTGCGTAATTTATAGTACATGTGTTGCGTGTTGATTCGATTAACGAAGATTCAGTAATCAATCTCTCCATCTAATTGGGATAAAGCCACTGTACTTAAGTCAGTCCAATATAACCAGGTGGAAAGAGAGAGAGATTGCTGAATCTTTATTCGTCAAACCAACACGCAACGTATGTAATAGGAGTGAGACAATAACTATATCAGAGATATGGGAAATTTTGCTACCGATAAAAGCAAATCATATGATGTGACGTTACTATAAAAATCGGATGTCAAAAGTAGTTTGATTACATTGATATGATTGTGAGTAATAATTTATGCTCAAAACGTCGTCAAATAGATAATACTGTATCATTGTGTTGTAAATCAAATAAACAGATCTAATATGGAAAACCTGGGGTAACTAAATAAGAACAAGATATTCAGCGAAGAGACTTTTCAACTAATTTATTTTCAAGCTGTATAATCGTATATATATGATATTTGAAAAATTATTTCCGGTGAGGAAAACTAAGCACTGGATAATGATGATGATAGTCATAACAGAGCGGATGATGACACAGGCATTTGTGATTATGATGAAAATTGAAGTATGAGTAATAACAGAGTAGATTACTTAAGATATGGAATGGTTCATAGAAAGTATGTAACTCAGATGGCGGTGAAAAAATTGATGAAAGTGGTAAATCAATTAATTATTATGTAGTAGGACTAGACAAGTTGGTCAAGATGAAATCAATGTTTTCTAAATGAATCAACCTGACTCGGTGCTCAACTTCTTTCAGGACATTAGTAAAAACTATGGCCCGGATGTTTATAGTTTTCTAAAAAGATTAAAACAACTAAGTGAAATAACACCCGAAACTAATCAAAGTGAAGGCAGTTATAATGACAGTAATGGCGATAAATGAAGGATACAATAGTTAAATTAATAAAGGTGGGGGGAGCCAGTGGGATGGGAAAATGTTATGGCCATGATAAAAACAGTGACTGTACATACTTCATTTGTACACACAGATCAGGTTTAGTTCATCAATAGAAGTTGAAAACGAGGAAATGGTGGGGGGTTTGGGCGAATTTGATAAATAATTTTAAAGTCATTGTCTGGGTTTGTTGAATGATGGAAATTAATCAAACATTCTAGAATCGAACTTCAAACAGACTTTCTTTCACCTTTATAAAACCGAGCAAGAACATGTTCTCATATACGTGCAGAAAGCATTCTCTGGCTATGGCCGATGTACCTTGCTCCAGAAGAACTGCTGAACTGGTAAATGCATATAGAGGCGGCCAAATGAGGAAGCCTATCTCTAACACAAACAAAGAATAGGTTATGGCTGGTAAAAGTCAACTGAAGTCTTGCTGCGAAGAAAGTTCTACTGACAGAACTGCATAGACGATTCTTTAGTACATCCGATGCCAGGTCACCTTTAAATCCTAGGCTCGTGAACAATCTTTTTTTTGAGGCCGAGTGAATGACTGGTTTAGTATTTTTTCTAGCATATTTTTATTAATAAAACGGCTAGGGTAACCGTTTTCGATAAGTGTGCATTTTAAAAAAGCTCTTCATCAATGCAATCGTCACTACAGATGTTTCTTATTCGATAGCGGAGAGAGTAAATAAGCTTTCTGTGTTGATTGTATTGTACTGTATTGTGTTCAGTTTTCCTCCCGGGATATGATTTTACAAATTATATATATATATATATATATATATATATATATATATGTATATATATATACGATTTTACAACTTGAAAATAATTTCGTTGAAAAGAGTCTCTTCGTTGAATACCTTGTTATTGATGTTACAATGGGGATTAGTAAATTATTAATTAAATAAGAGTGAAGGAATGAACACTTATAGCTGATGAAGGATGATGTAGTCAAATATCAGTGAAGAAGGGTCAACAACTTCGACGAAGGTTAACAGTCACTTCCTTTTGAACACATACCTCAGGTTTAAAACTTTCGATGGCTATGGTCTTGGTAAGCTTCAGAAGAAGTGAGTCTGATACTTTGTTTATTCTTTTGAGGGAAGTGAAGACGTCTATTTGATTTTCTGTGTCAGTCAGATGCCGAGTGATTGTGCTGTTCGGTATGTTGCTTCCCGTCAGTTGTAGGCTCTTCCAAGAATGTGTTCGGAAAATTAAAGATATGCCCTTCTTTCTGTCCTTCCAATTTATCTGCTTCCGCAGTTACACGCAAATTGATGAACACAGTTAGAGATGAAATAAAAAAGAGCACCTGCCGACTTGGTTTGAAGAATTAACCTGTTTGCGAGAAACGTTCTGGCTGGTGATATCTTCAGTCGTCATCATCATAGAACAGAGTATAGAATGACAGTCAACCCTCCAACTCAACTTCATCGACTTTGAAAAGGCCACTGACAGAGTCGACCGACAAGTAATTTGGCAGGAAGCTGCTTCAACACTACGATTTTAGTGCCACAAACCTTTATCGACCTCATTCAACAACCATATGAAGACGCCACATGCCAGCCAAGTAATTCACAATGGGAAGCTCACTGATGCTTTTGAAGTGAACTGAAGACAGGAGTGAAACAAGACTGTCTACTATCACCCGTGATATTCCTGATTGTAGTGGACTGGATCATGCAACAAACAGTGAGGAGTGAGAAGAGGAGGATACGCTAGGTGGACCGGGAAAACATCCTAGAAGGTTTGGATTTCGCCGATGACTTGTGTCCGATGTCACACGAACATGGAGATCTACAGGCAAACACTAACAAGTTAACAGAAGTGTCGAGGCAGTGTAGCGAAGACGGGACTTCAAGTGGACATAGAGAAGACAGAGGTGATGACGATACTAAACCAAGAGCACCACCAACAACAAGAG